CAAAATATGTGGTGCATTTAGGATGTGGGTCCTCATGTGCATGCTGCCACTGTTAAGGTCATCAGACTCACAGTGACTTTCAGCAATCCATTGCATAGGTAATCGTCCTCTTTGGCCTGTCCAATGCATAGGTAATCGTCCTCTTTGGCCTGTCCAATGCATAGGTGATCATCCTCTTTGGCCTGTCCAATGCATAGGTAATCATCTTCTTTGGCCCATTTCTCCTTGAGAATCCTTGAATTCCTGTTGTTTTGAGCCTCGATCTTCACTGAGGGCCAGTCATCAACTGTTTAAGTGTTCAATTATCAATAAACCGAAGTCTGTGGAAGGCCATAATGGCCCTGCTTTAAGTGGTTCGCTGCTCCCGCAGCTCACCACGCTGTCTCTGCCTCTGCCGCCATCTTCTATTTTCAATAGATGTTTCTTGAATCAAAATGTGAGGTGGAAATCTTTATTGTCCATTATTGTCCCTTTTTGTTTTGTCTTCTCAATGCTCTAGTGCCATTTTTAGAGTCTCTTCTGACATCCATTTAATTTTTTTCTTTCTCCTCTGTTTTTGTAATGATCTTTTGTTTTCTTTATGGATGACATCCTTGATATCCACAACTCATCTGGTCTTCAATCATTGGTGTTCCATGCCTCAAACCTATTCCCATGATGATCTTGAAATTCAGATGGCATTGATTCAAGATCATATCTTGGTTCTTGTGGACTTATTTTCATTTTCTTTGACCTCAATTTGAACTTTCATATAGGTAATTGATGGCCTGACCCACAGTCTGTCCTTGGCCTAGTTTTGACTGGGGATATTGACCTTCTCCAATGATTTCTTCAATGAATGTAATCAATCTGATTCCTATGCAGCCCATCAGGTGAGATCTATGTTAAAGTTGCCATTTTGTGTCTTTCACATGAAACCTATACCTTGACCAGGAGGCTGTTGTGTGAACAGAGCAGGCGAAAACTGTATGATTTAAAATTAAAAGGTGAGTGTTTCAGTATTGTATTCTCTCTCCATACCTATTGAATCTGTATGGTGAGCAAATTATTTGAGAATTTGGACTCTATGAAGAGGAATGTAGCATCAGAATTGGAGGGAGACTCATCAATAGCCTGTGTTATACAGATGACACAACATTGCTTGCTAAAAGTGAGGAGGACATGAAGCAGTTGTTGCAGAAGATAAAGGAATGCAGACTCTTCTATGAATTGCATCTCAATGTCAAGGAAACAAAAATTCTTACCATTGGACAGATAGGCTACATCATGATGAATGGAGAAGAGATTGAAACTGCCAACAGCTTCATCTTGCTTGGATCCACAATTAACACCCCTTGCATCAACAGTCAGGAAACAAGAAGACACATTGCACTGAGAAAATCTGCAGTTAGGGGCCTCTCCAAATTATTGAGGAGTAATGATGTCAGTGAGGACTAAGGTGTAATTGATTCAGGCCATAATCTTTCCAATCACTTGCCATACATCTGAGAGCTGGACAGTGAATAAGGATGACTGAAGCAAAATTGATACCCTTGAGCTGTGGTGTTGGAAAAGAACATTGAATATCCCATGGACGGCCAAAAGAACAAACAAATATGTCTCAGAAAGGGTACAGCTGGAGTGTTCTTTAGAGACAAGAATGATGAGGCTTTGCCTCACATACTTTGTTGCTAGGAGGTGTTATTCCTTGGACAAGGACCTGATGCTAGGAAGAGTGGAGGGTCAGCAAAGGAAAGGAAGATCCTCCATCAGGTGGGTTGATTGCAGAGCAATGGGCTCTTGTGTGTTGGTAAGTGTAAGGATGGCACAGGATAGAAAAGGATTCAGATCTTTTGTTCATAGGGTCACATGAGTCATACTCGACTCAACATCACACAACAACAACATTTTCTCTTTTTACCTTTAACTCTGCCAATCTCAGAGAGTGTCTTTGAGTTTATGAGCTGAGGAAGCAAAACTTCAAGAGCCTGAGTCTTCTGGACTGAAAAACTCTGAAGCAGAGAAATAACAAGCAATATAAGGAGTCCTGGTGGCAGAGACTAACATTTGGCAGTTTGGCTATTTGATAGAGCTAGAGCTTGGCTCCCTTAAAGGAAAAAACCAAAAAACAACAACACAACACCCAACCAAACCAAACCTTGTGGACAGTTCTACTTTGTCGTATGGGTCCAGCATGAATATAAAATATTTTTTTTTCTGACCTGACAACAACACTAAAATAAACATATGTGGTTTGGTGCCAAGAGCTTTTTTACAGACCGTCCTTTCATGACTTCCATTTTGCAAAAGAAGAGCCCAAAACTCTGAGACCTAGAAACTTCCTTATAACGTCAGTGATAGAACTGAGATTGCAAAGCAGACTGATTACAGAACCAGTTCATTAAACACCAATCTATACTCATATCATAGTCCTTGTGGATGTCATTGCGCCCTGTCCACTGTGCCAATTATTGCGCCAGGGCTCCCAGTCTCCAAGTATCAGGGCATGTCTAATAGACCAGTGTGGTCTGGTGAGGCTTGTTTGTTTGAGTTGAGGACAAATGCACAGCTGTTCCAGGATCATAGGGGAAATGGAAATTCTTTGTGGCACGGTCTGTAGTCTGTTCCACTGCTAACCCAAAGGCCCCCTGTGTCCCATGGCTCCTCCCATAGTCATTTACAGGCTCAGAAACCCAATGGAGGGTCAGTCAAAGTTGGAACTTGATTCAAGCTCCAAAAGTATGAGTTTTTGAGGAACTGAAAATATTTTCATGTAGCTTTTGTCCTCTGAAGACTGTAAATCTGGGATATGAAAGTAAAAGCATGACCCATAATTTAAGGCTTTAAGAACTTACTTTTTCTCTTGGCAAAAGTAAAGTGTTAATAATTAATTCTCATTCATCATACCTCCAGCAGTTCCTTCACTGAACACAGGAATGTGAATTTGAGCAAAGAGGGATATTTAACTAGTTAATTAGTGTTCAAAATATCCTGCTTCCTATTTCAGGATGAGACATGGAAATAATGAGTGAGGAAATAATTTGGGCAACTTGTCTCTGTTATATACCTCTATTTTTCAAGAAGTTATTCTTCAAACAAAAGAACAAAGAAGGAGGGAAAGGTACTGGAAGTATATATCAGGTAATTGTTCTTCTCTTGAATCCAATTTTACCCCTTGGAGTCAATACATAAAGCTTGCAATCTCTTGGAAAAAGACAGCTAATTAAATTAATGAAGCTGGTTGGGAATTGTTGAGTGCTTGGCTGTTAACCAAAAGGCCAACGGTTTGAACCTATCAGCTACTCTGCTGGTCTAGTGGCCTCGTCCATAGGGAGTTGTACTGCTACCACAAAGGCTGCACCTCACTGGTGGTGGAAATCCTCCAGTGACTCTATGGAAGAAAGATGAACCATCTTCTGTAGGAATTACTGCCTCTCAAAATGCACTGGAGGATCAGCTTAGTTGTTTCCCCGTAGATGACAAGAGTTAGCCACTCTCTGGGAGAAAACTGTGTCATGAAGATCTACAGCCTTAAATACCAGACGGGACACTTCTACCCTGTCTTTGAGGGCCACTATGTGTCAGAATTTTACTCCACTGCAATAGGTGTTTGGTATTCAATAAGTTGGATTTAGATCGTCAGTGGGTAATAGTAGTAATCACGAATGGGGTAAACCGATGGAGGAGAATTCTTCCCGGATTAAGGCTGTTGGAATACTTGCCCAGGAGGTCAGATTCTCGGCTGTTGACCCTGGGGGTTATTCTCACCTCTGGAAAAACCCCGGGCGAATGAGTCACTCTGGCATTGCCAGCGTCTGCAGGATTCTTCCTGTTACGCTCCCCCCTCCCCCGCCATTGCAAAATTGCCCAGAAGAGAAGTGAGGGGGATGGCTGGAAGGAACAGTTTGGGAGGGAACCTGTCTTAACCCGAGGAGGAAATAGTGACAAAAAAAGATTACATAAATTCTTACAGACCTTAAAAGTTGGGAAAGATCTACGCCTCGAGCCACCTAAGGGGAGCGCCCATAAGTAGGCAAGAAGCCAAAGCACTTTTCAGAACGTTTCTAAAGCGCAGAGCCATGGTAAGTAAAGTGCTCCAGGGCAGATTCGGGGATGCAAGGGGATCTGCAAGGGTAGATACTAGCCTCTATCACGTATCTCCCCAGGATCTCTCACCCTACTTGTTGCTGTTGCTGCTGCTGCCGTCGCTGCTGTGTACTTCAGAAGTCACGCCAGAGCCCTGCGAGCTGGACGATAAGGATTACCTCTGCTCCTGCAATTTTTCTGATCCTGAGCCCGACTGGTCCAGTGGATTCCAGTGTATGGTTGCCTACAAGGTGGAGATTCGTGCTGGTGGCCGCAACTTAGAGAAGTTTCTTAAACATGCAGATACCAGCCCACGGCAGTACTCTGATGTGGTCAAGGGTCTGCGCGTGAGGGAGCTGACAGTGGGCGCTGCGCGGGTTCCCGCGCGGCTCTTGTTCGCCCTCCTGCGCGCGCTCGGTCACTCCCGCCTCCGGGAATTGACACTTGAAGACCTGGAGATAACCGGTACTTTACCACCAGCGCTGGAAGCCGCGGGGCCCGCACTCTCCACCCTCCGCCTCCGCAACGTGTCCTGGGCCGCAGGCGGTGCCTGGCTGGCCGAGCTGCAACAGTGGCTCAGGCCGAACCTCAAGGAACTGGGCATTGTACAAGCACAACCGCTTGCCTTCTCCTGTGAGCAGCTTCGTAGTTTCCCGAGCCTCGCCACTCTGGATTTGTCAGACAACCCCGGTCTGGGAGAGGGCGGACTGGCTGCGACCCTGTGTGGGCACAAGTTCCCTGCTCTCCAGGATCTGAGGCTGCGCAATGCGGGGATGGAAACGCTCTCAGTCGTGTGCGAAACGCTGGTAGCGGCTGTGGTGCAGCCCCACCACCTAGACCTTAGCCAAAACGCGCTCCGTGCCAGTGCACACCTGGGCGCCCCTGGGTGCGTCTGGCCTAGCACACTGAAGTCTCTCAACTTTTCTTTTGCTGGGTTGGAGCAGGTGCCTAAGGGACTGCCCGCTAAGCTCAGGGTGCTGGATCTCAGCTGCAACCGTCTGAGCAGGGCTCCAAGGCCAGATGAGCTGCCAGAGGTGGAAAAGCTAATACTGGATGGGAATCCTTTCATGGACCCTGAATCCCCCAAACCCTATGGGGATTCAATGAACTCCAGTGTGGCCCGAACCTGTGTATACTGGCTCCTGGCCACAGGGCTATCAGGAAGTCTAGTACTGTTCTTGGGGAACTGGAACTTTGTTTAGGACCCACGGGGAGAAGAACAAACGGACCTCCGGACAGAGAAGGAAAAAGCGCTGTCAGCGGATCTCGACCAACCCAATCTGCCGCCACGTTTTATTAATACCTTAAACAGTTGATCTGTACTGTTCATCCAACAGATTACTGTTCGTTCGGCAGCAGATCTTTCTTGGGTGTCTGATACAAGCTGAGCCTGGTACCCATACTTCGACTCTTCTTCTTAACTCCTTACGTGGGGGCTTATTTTGTAGAGAGTTGTGCTGCCAACACCTCTCTGGAGGTTTGAATCTACCAGTAGCTGCAGAGGAGAAAGATGGTCAATCTCTTCCATTCACAGCCTGCGAAAACCCATTGGAAGGTCAAGGACAAGCCAGTTTCTACTCATAGCCACCTGGTTGCAATGAGAAAGAGAGAGACCTTTCTAGGTAAGGGAGACTCTAGCTCCTTACCACAGGACAGAGTGACAGGAAGATGTGACAGGGAAAAGACATCAGTACAAGAAAAGCTGCAGGCGTTCTGCACAATCAATGCTTTCTGAGCGAAATTCTGGCATCAGCATTAAAGGGTATCTGAGCGGTCCACATTCCTATAAGTTTCCCCTTTGGTGCACTTCCCATTCATCTGCTTCTACTTTAAAAGACTAAAACTCAGTACCCTGTCAGGGAAGAGAAAGAGAGTGAGAGAGAAATAGAAAGAGAGAGAGAGAGAGAGAGATTGCAGTGTTTTAGTGAGAATAGTAGTTCAAATAGTACAGCACAAAATGAAATGACAATGTGTTCCAATCCGTAGGATTTTTCAGAGTATTTTTATATGGAAATATTAATAACTTTAAAAATCATCCAGCTGGGAGTACTCAAAAAAAGTAGTTATTTGGATTGGTTGGCATTTACAAAGATTTGTTTAATCAGTCACAAAATTGTTTATGAAACTCCCAAAGTTTCCACTGACAGATCAAAATAGCAATTAAAAATGACTTACTTTCCACAAAGCCATTAATCTCCAGATTTCTCAGAGCTAGTTTGGGCAAAACCATATGTAAGTAGTTTTCATAGATATTTTACACCAAAAAAAGTGCTTTTGTCATGAGATTCTTGGGTCATTCTTCTTGAAATCTTAATATTTTCTTTTTTAAATTTTTTTATTAAA